CACAGGAGGAAGGAATTACCATTATATGCAAAGCATACGAAACATTCTATCAAAACAAACTTCTAATACCCAGCCAATACCTCGCAGATATGCTCAGACTAATCCTAAGGGAGAATTCTTTCCAATTTGTTGGAAAAAACTACCTCCAAGGACAAGGTACAGCTATGGCAACAAAAATGGCAGTTGAATTTGCTAACATTTTTATGTTTGCAATAGAGACAGAAATTACAAAAAATCCGCACAAACCACTAGCGTGGAAGAGATTTATCAATGACATATTCTCATTCTGGAATGTAGACAAAGAAGAAATATACTCATTCATCGAACTAGCAAATAACCACCACCCGACCATACAATTTACTGCTGAAGTTTCAGAAACAGAAACTGCCTTTCTGGATACATGTAATTACAAAGGAGTAAGATTTAAGAAGGAATCAATCCTAGATGTGCGTACACACCTCAAACCGACAGAAACTTTCCAATACACGTATTTCTCTTCATGTCACCCCCCAGGGGTTAAGAAAGGATTCATAAAAAGCGAGGCCTTAAGATTACTCAGAACAAACTCTTCTGAGAAAAGGTTCGAAGAGAACATATTAATTAATTTCAAGCGAACACTCCGTATGAGAGGTTATAGAGATAAAGTGATAGATAAACACCTATCAGAAGTCAAGCATCACGAAAGAATGTCGGCTTTGTAAAACAAAACAAAAACGCACAACAAAATACTACCATTCGTGACAGAATATCGCCGCTCAGTACCGAACCTAAAAAAAATCATCATGCACAAATGGTATCTTATAGAAAACCAACCGTTGCTTAGAGAAATCTTTAAAGACCCTCCCATAATATCTTACAAAAGAGGAAAGTCACTACAAGATATACTCGTAAGAGCTAATCTATGAAGGTAAGGTCAAACCAACAGCAACTGAGCCAAAGAGAGACGTGAATAGCCTGTCAACATTATGAACAACACAAACTATAAAGCTTCAAGGTCAAAGATATACAACTACTTGGCCAAAAGGAGTCGTGTATGGCCTGTCAAAATTATGAAACATATTTCCTCGTGTTGTGCGATTTTCAAGGATTGTCTCGATAAAAAAAACGAATGCAAGAAAACTTCGCCCTCACTTGTGTGGTATTGACTAAAAGTATCCAAACGTTATGCCTGTTGTAGGACCCTGCCGCGTTGTTAAGTTATTTTACAAGGGCGCCTTAAGACTCAGCGTTTTATGCAAAATATCTGACCGTAAAAATATCGCCCAGAAATTTCGCTTACATTTTTTGGAAAATCATGATAAAAGTATAAAAGCCAAAAAAAAAAAAACATAAAAGGCTTCAGGTGCCATAGCATTGAGACACAGAGCCTTCGTCATGGTCCAAGCGCTGTTCTCAAAAAAGGAAACTTGGGTTCCATTTCCGTCAAAGAGAAAAAATTTACCAAATAAAGCTGATTGCTGCTAATTACCATAAACGAAAAACGAATTGTAATGCAAACCATTCAACCACGACCATACTCGCCAAAAACGCGTCCATTTGGGAAAAAAATGGCGACCTGTCATACAAAAATAAACTAAACTTTAGACAACAGGGTAAAAGAGTAACAAGGTAACAGAGTAACAAGGTAACAAGGTAACAGAGTAACAAGGTAACAAGGTAACAAGGTAACAGAGTAACACGGTAACAAGGTAACAGAGTAACAAGGTACCAAGGTAACAAAGTAACACGGTAACAGGGTAACAAGAAAACAGAATAACAAGGTAACAGGGTAACAAGGTAACAGAGTAACAAGGTAACAAGGTGACAGAGTAACAAGGTAACAGGGTAACAGAGTAACAAGGTAACAGGGTAACAAGGTAACAAGGTAACAGAGTAACAAGGTAACAGGGTAACAAGGAAACAGAGTAACAAGGTAACAAGGCAACAGAGTAACAAGGTAACAGGGTAACAAGGAAACGGAGTAACAAGGTAACAAGGTAACAGAGTAACAACGTAACAAGGTAACAAGGTAACAGAGTAACAAGGTAACAACGTAACAACGTAACGGGTTGACAAGGTAACAAGGGAACAGAGTAACAAGGTAACAAGGTAACAGAGTAACAAAGTAACAAGGTAACAGAGTAACAAGGTAACAGGCTAACAAGGAAACAGAGTACAAGGTAACAGAGTAACAGAGTAACACGGTAACAAGGTAACAGAGTAACACGGTAACAAGGTAACAGGGTAATAGAGTAACAAGGTAACAGGGTAACAAGGAAACAGGGTAACAAGGTAACAAGATAACAGAGTAACAAAGTAACATAGTAACAAGGTAACAGGGTAACAAGGTAACAGGGTAACAAGGTAACATAGTAACAAGGGAACAGGGTAACAAGGTCACAGGGTAACAAGGCAACAGAGTAACAAGGAAACAGTAACAAGATAATAAGGAAACACATCAGGGAGCAACAAGGAAACAAGGAAACAGATCAACAAGGTAACAGAAAACAGAACTACAAGGCATCAAGGAACGAAGCAGAAAGAGTGAAGGTGTAAGTTAAGTAGGTAAAATCGGTACAATATATGTCCCCATACATGAAGTACCTACCCAGCGAACACTCCCAAAAGTAACGAGCCAGCGATATATCTCAGTCAGTGATATATCCCTGACAATGTAACTTTGAAAACACAGAAACGCGTTGCATTTTATGACCGGTTCCAGCCTTCGGTTAGGCCCCGGTAAAAAGCTGTCTTCACCCTTTCGACCGAGCCACGAACGGACAGCAGCGCTGGTGCATGCTCTGATTGTCTCGAGTTTGACCCGGCTGGGCCAGTCAAAGTGTTTATACGGAGAAAAGTTGGCCCGGCTAGGAGGGTGATCCTGCCATCTAAAAAGGGTGACTCGGCTAGTCGGGTCTCCCTTCAAGCCTAGCCAACCTTTCGCATGCAAAAAGATTTGTTGAAGGAAATTGTGTTTCTTGTTGAGGACACGGCAGTTTGCTAGCAACCGTTGTGCAGGATGCGCTGTCAGTTAACTGTAGTCCATCACCGGCCTTCCACTTTAATTCAAGTACCAGTGATCCTACCTTTGGGCTTGCAAAATGTCTTCCCGTCACCCATATACCCATCGTGACAAGTGCAATTGTAGGAGCCATTAGTATTTGAGCAAGACGCGAGGTTTTGAAGGCAGTCATGTGATCCTTGGTGGCACTCATCAATATCTAAGAATTATAATTAGAAGCGTATATTCCTGCAGTTACAACCTCAAGAACGATCCCTTAACTGGACACTAAGTGTTGCACTGCCATGGCGGAGGTCGAGGGGAGGACACGAAGAAAGATTGAGGACCTAGCAAGTTTTGTATATTTTGCAAAGTTTATTTTTATACAGAGCTCTGTATCAGTGAAATGGCTTAGTTTCTACCTGTCAGTGAGTATTTGTATTGTAGTAGAGGCAAACTCGAAAGCTTAATGCTGCTTTAGCCGCTACGCACTTCTCCAATGTAATGGAGTTAATGTAACAGGGTAAGCTAGCTCTGTTTTTCTCATTGTATATTGTAATTTTGAATAAGTTTGAGTAGATGAACTTGAACTTGAACTTGTTGCTCCCTATGTCTGTTTAAAATTTTTAAAAAGATTGGGGGAAATTTTTAACGACAAGCCTATTTGCACCTGGTTTTCCCTCTGTATTTAAATTCACTACAATGTTGAAAACAGAAGACTCAAGATGAAAATGCGAAGGAGGGATTGTAGCTCTTGTTCCAGTGATGAAATCGACTCAGTGAACAAACGCAAAAGCTCGTGGCTTTAATAAAGAAGTGTCAGCCGACTGGCAATGCCTTAGCGGCTTCATGCCGACTTTAAATCAATGTTACTGTGGGTCGTTCTTGACACTCGTTTTTGACTGCAAATGAGACTTTGACTGGTATTCGTTTGATTCTTGATATCTAAACATTTATATTTTGTTACCTGTGCAAGTTAGACCGTCTCCAGTATATCCTGGCTCGCAAAGACAAGCAAAGGATCCTTTGGTGTTGTTACAATACATATGATCTGCATCACAGTTATGCTCTCCTGTTTCACACTCGTTTATATCTGCAAAAACCAACATAGATATATATTTTTCTGTAATCTGAAGGCTGACATTTGTTTCTTCTCAATTTATTATAAATTTAGAACATACAGCAATAAAAATATATGTATTGAAGACTTCCTACCTTTTTTGCAGCGTTTTCCTTTAAAACCAGAAGGACACAAACATCGATATCGCTTCACGGTAAATCCAGACTGACAGGTTCCGCCATTATAGCAGTAGATCTCATCACAGGCATTCTTAACAAAAAGGTATTTTTGGCTGATTAGATGGATATCATAGAACAAATACGAGCTCAAATAAGATTGGTTACTAGAAAATGGTAGCTAAAAAAATTAGAAATAGTTAAGAGTTGTTGCAAAAGAAGAAGAACAACAACAAGAACTCAAGCTCGAACATGCAGACACGAACAAAAACACGAACTCGAACACGAACGCGGACCAAGACACGAACAGGAACAGGAACACGAACAAAGACACGAAAACGAACACGAGCAAGAACACGAACGCGAACACGAACAGGAAAGAACACAAACACGATCAGAAATGGGAAAGAGAAGAACTAAAGAGCAAGACGAATTCGAACGGAAGAGCAAGAGAAATATGAGGAGGAGGATTGACAATGATAAGAATTAAGAAAAATCTTACATCTGCTCCGTGATAGAGGTAATTATTTTCATTTTTGAACTCGTTATCATGCCATCGGTGAGTGGCGTTGTTGAGCTCACATGTTTTTTTTTTCATGTGATAGTTGACACTCACGCAGTTGTGTTCGTAGTAACACTGCAGCTTGCAGGTCTCAATATCAACAACAATTTTAGTTCCTATAGTGTGGTTCACGAAACGCTTGTTAATGAAGAAGAAAGGTGGTGGGAACGCCAGTATACGACAGTTATCTGAAACAAGAACGAAACAATTTAAAATGGATAT